TGAGAGTGAAGTGAAGCTCAGCTCCACCCTGCAGAGTCCACTTCCCCAGGGTGACACAGAGGCCAGACATCCAGGGCCCCGGGCCCCACGGACAGTGCAGTCAGTCTGCGGGAAAGGAGGCCACGCAGTTATGAAACAAGCACTTGTTAAAGAGAAGCTGTCTTCTTCTGGTTCTCAAGGCTCATGTGGCGGGCTGAATTCTCAGCAGAGGGGAGTGGGCAGAGATGAGGGAAGTCATGGCAGGACCAGAGGTCCTGATGGCTTCTGGTTTGAGCTCAGCACCAGCCCAAAAATCCCATTTCCCTTGAGAACCACCCCTGAGGCTGGTGAAACTTGTTAGGACTCAGGTTTGGCTCAGGGATTGGTTCTGATTAGGACCCACTATCCCTGGGCACACACCTGCTACGAAGCCTTACCCACCTCAGCTCTGATTTTTCAGGCATGAGAAAGGCCTCTATGAGGAGGTCTTTGCTTTTGTTTCCAGCCAGAGCTAATGAGAAAATTGCAATTTTAAAATTGTACTTTCAAGAAAACTGCAGCTTCAAGATGCGAAGTTACCCAAGATTACAATGACTTTTCAACCCTAGGCCTGTTTTCTTTCCAGGTTGCTCACTCTAAATTCCTGAGTTGCTCACTCCTAAATTCCTGAGTCTTTTTTTTTTTGGCAGGGGGCCGTGTTTTGAGACATGGTTTTGCTGCGTAGTTTAGCTGGCCTTGAACTCACTATGTAATCTAGAGTGACCTTGAACACATGGCAATCCTCCTGCCTTAGCCTCCCAAATTCTGGGATTATAGGGATGAGCCTGCCACCACTTCTGGCTAAATTCCTGACTCTTAAAACACAAATCCATCGGCCATAGGTGGTGGCACATGCCTGTAATCCCAGCGCTCGGGAGGCTGAGGCAGGAGGATCGCTGTGAGTTCGAGACCAGCCTGGGCTACACAGTGAGTTCCAGGTTGGTCTCAACTACGTAGTGAGACCCTGTCTCAAAAAATCAAACAAAAATAGAACCCCAGTGATAGTGACCATGTAGAGGCTACCCTTAGACCTTGGCACACAATCTGAAGAGCTACAAGCCGCTCATGCTCAGCCAACCTCCAGAGGACGGCTTGGCCCTGAAGCCCAAGGCCAGGCCCACCCTGCAGTGCTGGTGCTGAGCCGCTGCCACTGGAGGCTGTGACTGGAGGCAACCTGGGACGTGGAATGGTGCTGAGCCCAAGGGGTTCCACGCGGCACTGCTCAGCGTCTGGTCTGTGTCTCTGTAGTCAGGGCTATCACTGTGACCCCCAGGGAGATGGACAGCAGGATGCCTTCCGCTGCACCTGCTCCTGCCGCTGGGTGGAGGGAGGCCAGAGACCAACGAGGTGCTGTGTTCTCCAGAGAGTGCATGGAGAGCACCGGGAGTGTAAGGGATTGGTCAACGTGGGTCCTGGTCTCTTGCTCTCGCCCTTTCCCTCGATTCATTTAGTGAGTAAGTGTTCGGTTAAATCAGCTTCCATTTGGATGTAGCTCCCTGGGCTGCACTCTGATTCCTGTGAATCTGTATTTCTGTAATGGTGTGTGGTCAGTTTCTGTATGGCCACAGCAAAACAGGCCTCCTTGGAATGATAAATATGGTAGAGCAGGCATGTGGTGCATACAAAATCCTAGCCCTGGGGAGGCTGAAGATTGCCAGGAGTTGAAGGCCAGCCTCAACTACCTAGCCAGGCCCTCAAAAGAACAAGCAAAACAAAAAGAAGTAATCTGTCCATCCCTCAGTGGTGAAGCTATTTTAGCATTTTTGCCCTACTTTTATTTTGTGGTATTGTTTTTGGTTTTGGTTTTTTGAGACAGGGTCTCACTGTGTAGTTGAGACTGACCTGGAACTCACTATGCAGCCCAGGCTGGTCTCAAACTCACAGTGATCCTCCTGCCTCAGCCTCCCAAGTGCTGGGATTACAGGCGTGCACCACCACACTCCGCCCAGCTTGCCCTACTTTTATTTTGAATTTATCTTTGCACAAAGAAAATGATGCACTTGCCTATGAAGCTATTTACATAACTGGAAAGTAAGCCCTGGACTTTAGGTGACGCGTGTGTGCATTCACTGATTGGATCTTGGTTGTCCTTGAAAATTTTAGAGGGAGCCAAAAGATGAGTGGATTTAAAATATTTTCAGAATGTGGAAAACCAGTTAACATGTAATTGAATCTAGTTTAGGAGTTTTGTTAATCATTGTGGTAGTACTGAATGGGTAATTTAGTTATAAAAAGAAATATAATTCTATTAAATAAACTAATTGAAAATAACAATTAAAAAAAGAAAATAACAATTACAATAAGTATTCAGTTTTAAGTATTAGGGATCAAATTACCTTTATTTGAATTTGGGGGAATTAATCCATTTTTTTCATTTTTCTTAATTATGCTAGAATTAAAATATTTTTTATCTAAATTAACATTGATTTCTAACTTTTTATAGCAAAGCAATGATAGCTATGTAATTGTGATGGGTGTGATAGGTTTTTAAGGAAAGAACTCTTTTCAAAACACTTTTTAAAGTTTTTAAAGGGAAAAAAGGCTATGGACTTTACAAGCATATCTTTTTTTCAGTACTGTATAGATTTTTTTGTTTGTTTGTTTTTTGAGACAGGGTCTCACTATGTAGTTGAGACTGACCTAGAACTCACTATGCAGCCCAGTCTGGTCTCGGACTCACAGTGATCCTCCTGCCTCAGCCTCCCGAGTGCTGGGATTACAGGCATGAGCCACCATACCTGTCTGTAAGGATTTTTTTTAAGTACTTTTTTTGGTAAGAGATTAGTAATAAGTATCCATTATAGTTCTATGAAAGGACTTATATTTTCACTTTAATATTTCTTAATTTTAAAATGCTTTTGTCTTATTTGCAGCATCTTACCAATTTGATTTTTAGGACATTTTTATTTTTTAAAAAAGATACTTTGTTAAAGGGGGGGCCAAATCTTTTAGATGTATTCCAAAATGTTTATAAAACACTTCACGGACTGTTGAAATCACTTCCAAAAATGCTGTCTATCCAACAACTATTAATTTTTTTAAGCAGCAATCACATATTTTATAAATCTGTGAATTTTACCCTTGACCTTTAACTGAACTACCATAACTTTAGAAAAATCTTAACTTCAGAAGACCAGAGGAAACTGCCTGCGTCTAATGCAGTTAGCAGGACTAACCAGGCTTTACTGGAAGTGTATTGTTAATCTGCTTTTCCTCCACGAGAGCTAGTTAGTGTCACATTTCCTCTGTGGAGCTCAATAAATCATCTTTGCCAAGAAAAAAAAAACAACCTACACAAACTTATTATCTAACAGCCCCAGAAGTCAGGACAAAATGGGTCTCACTGGGCTGGAGCCAGCAGGCAGCACTGCTTTCTGGGGTCCCCCCTGAGAATCCATTCCTTTCTAGCTTCAGAAGCTGCCAGCCCCCCTAGCTCCAGGTTCCTTTCATCTTCCCCCCTGCAGAAAATGAACTCAGCTGTCCCCACCGTTGAAGCAGAGCCTCCTGGGGATCCAGCCGGCCCTTCAGGGCATAGTCTGGACAGGGCCCCTGCTGACCCGACTCTAAAAGGTCTCTGCATAGTTCAGGCTGACCTTGAATTCATAGTGATCCTCTTACCTCAGCCCCCTGAGCTCTGGGATTATAGGCATGCGTCACCATAGTTGACCTAAAATGTTTTTCTAAATACACAATCACTTCCTTCCCCGAAACAAAGACATTCCGCTCTACCCAAGTATCAGCACCAAACACAACTTTTATGACAAGGTTCACTTCAATTGCCATCCCCAGCGGTGGCACCCAGGCCTAGGGAAAAACTGCTGGGGAGTCAGAGGAACCTGGACGATAGCCAGTCTTTCTCTGAGCGCCTCCATGGGTCCCTGGGCTACCACCAGCCCAGCAGCAGAGGGTCTGGTCCCCTAGCTGTGGGAGGCTGGGCTCAGAGGGGCTAAGTCCTCACTCCAAGGTTACCAGCTGGTAACCACAGGGTGGGAAATGGCTGGGAGTCTGTTCTCCCAACCCATCTGAGGCTCCTGTTCACTGCTTGTACCTGTCCAGACTCTGGGGCCACATGGCTCCTACCTCAATGATATCTTTGTGAGAATTAGATAGTGATGACCCTTCCTGGCTGTCCCACTGGCCAAGGTCAGGACCTGGCCCTTCAGGGTATAGTCTGGGCATGGCCGCCGCTGACCCAAGCCAAGTGACCTCCTACGGTGGCCAGGCATCCCAGCTCGCTGTCTCCCTGGCCTGCAGTTGTCACCTAGCCTCACACCAGGCCAGGAACTGGAAAGCTGTGGTAACTCCCAGGGCCTCCTTCTCTGTAGAGAAGAGTGGCCTGGCTTGCACTGTGAGTGGCGGCACTGGGATTGCTTCGGCTGTGTCACCTCCACAGAAGGGTCACCAGCAAGCTGCCCTCACACGGACCTTACAGGGTGGAAGGGAGATGATTTCTGTCTAGGTGCAGGGGCCCCTGCACTGTGCCTTTGTCTGGGGGCTCTCAGGCTGTTTCTTTCTCCAAGGTCAATCCTGGTCCTGTTGGTCTGGCCCAAGCCAAGCCTCCTAGAACCTCTGGCCTGGGTGGAGAGGGGGGCAGAATCCCTGAGGTTTCTTTCCCCTTTCTGCTCATTTGGCCTTAAAGGGGTAGTGGAGCTCAGGCCCTGGGCCTCCCTGGAGGTCCCCTGTGGAGCCTGTCCCTAGGAAGTGCCTTGGCCACTGCTCTCCAAAGCCTACATCCTACCTCCTCCAAGAAGCCTCCCAGGCCTGCTGGCTCCTGGCTCTGAGCTCACGGGGGTAGACTTTTTAGCAAAAAGGGCAGCTCCAGAGGGTATCATGAGGACAGGTCACAACAAGCTCAGCGGCCTCTTAAACCCACTCAGAGGTGGGTGGATGGAAATCCTAGACCCCACTTCCTGCCTCCGTGGCTCTGCATGTTGGGCCTTCACCTCCATCCCTTATCTGCCTGGAAAAGGGTCCTTGCTGAGCCTTTAGTTCACTCAGAACTCAGATGGAATCATATTACTTTCATTTTCAGATCAGATGAAAAATAAAGGAGAGTATGTGAACCAGCCACAAGCCAAGTTCAGGCTTGTGTCACATGTTTTCCAGGAAACCATTCTTATTCTAATAGGGTAAACTCTGTCCGAAAGAGGCAAGTAGGGAAAGCAGCCACCCAAACGCCATTTCCTGATCCTGGCCACCAGACACAGAGCTTCGTTGTGATCGAGCAGAGTCGCCTCCTTGCCCGGGTGAGTAGGAGGACACAGGCACAGGGGAGCCAGGAGAAAGAACAGCCCCTGCCCCCGTGTGGGGCTTCCACATATGGCTTATTATTGGGAGGGGACACGGGGTTAGTCTGCGGAACAAGTGGGACGTTGAGGCTGGAGAGGGTTCTCAGCCAAGGGCAGGCACACCAGGTGAGGTGGGGACAGTCTTTGCAGGTAAGAATCAGATCTAGAAAAGGCAGCAGGACCATAGGGTGAAGGCAAGGTCAGCCATAGGACGTCACTACACAGACAAGTGAGGGTGCAGAGGCAGGAGCCCCGGGAGGGGAAGGCAGAGAGCAGGATGAACGCCTCCTCCGTATCCACACAGGGGTCCCAGCTCCCTAGGGTTGTCCCTTGGCAGCTCTTAGGACCCCTGGGTGTCTCAGGACTCCCACAGAGGAGTGAGGTGGGCGTCAGGAGCCAAGCAGAAGAGGAAATCAGCTGGGGACAAGTGGGGCTGGGGGACTGTCCCCGGAGGACCCAGGGAACAGAGGAGCCAAGCCGGGGTGCTCAGGGTGCAGTGAGCTGGGGCCCGAGGAGGGGACACCAAGGGGCCTCCAGTCCTCCTGGAGGACACAGTTTTCCAAGGTGGGTCAGGAGACAAGAAGCCAGGAAGCCCTAGGAGGCGGGCACCAAAGGGAGCAGTCACCATTCCATTCCACGGCCCACAGGAGCCCTGAGAAGTGTAAGCCAGGGCTGGCTGTGGCTTGAAGGCAAGGTGACCGGAGTGGGCCTTCCACCTGCGTATTGTAGCGCAAGGTCCTGAACTCCCTCCGCTGCTCAAAACTGCAGCTACTTCTGTGGTCAGAACCATCGGGAAACCACAGGGTGGGGTGGCGGGGTGGGGCAGACGGAGAGCAGTTTTGATGATCACCCAAGGTACACTGGCTGGTGAGAGGCCCTGAGGCTGGTAAAGGGCCCAGGCAAGGCCGCGGACCCTGTGGGAGCAATGGCCAGCCCGGGGTCTGAGCCCTTGTCTTGGCCTGCAGAGGCAGCCCTGAACTGCCAAACAGAGGCACAGACGGTGCTCTGTGGTGGGCATAGGTTGGGCTGGGGCACCCGCATGTGGGCTCCTGGGCCAACCCCATTACCTCACGGCCAGGTGGCCCCTCTGGGTGTGGTTCTTGAGGTTGGAACCTGCCGTGATTTGGGGCTCTGGGGCTTGCAGGGAGATAGAGGAAGGGACAGAAGGTGACGGGCTTTCCTCCCAGCAGGAGTGGGAAGCTCTCACCTGCCAAGAAGATGGGTCAAGAAGTGTCCACAATGACTTTTTCAGTGGTAAGAGTCGAAGTCCTCACATCCAACTGCCAGCTGCTGGGGACAGGAGCAGGACCTTGGTCACATCCCCAATTGTCCCTAGCCCCACCCCTGAAGCTCTTGGGGACCCGTCAGCTCCCATTTCCTGCTGGAGAAGCATCACTAAGGAGTCAGAGAAAACTGAGCCCTCAGCTCTTGAGCCCCTTGAGCCCGCTGGCTCTCCCTGAGTGCTCCTGAGACTGCTCTGAGCACCTCCATGTGCCCCCCAGGCTCCCACCAGTCCAGGTAGAGGTTGTGGGACCTGGACCTGTGGGATGCTGGGCCCAAAGGGGTTGCTAGGTCACTGCCCTGAGGACTCCAGCTGGTGGCTGCAGTGGGGACAGGAGTTGAGGTCTGGCTGGGTTCTTCCCACGGAGCTGGGTGGGACAACGCCCCTGCAGGGTTGCTGTTTTTCTCTAATCCTGCCCAGTCTCCTTCATGTCTACAGTCTGTGGGGTGGGCATGGGCTCACCAAGGTGATCTAAGCACATTCTTTCCCCATCCAGGTAGTGCCTGACGTTTCTATGGCACTGTCCTTCTCGGGACCTGTGGTGTGGCTCCTTGCCGGGGCAGTGGTTGTACTTCTCCTTGGTGGCGTCACTTATTTCGTAGTGCAGCATGTGAGGAAGGTACCTGGGCTGGGCTGGGCTGGGCTGGGATGGCACAGGGTCAGAGAGCACAGAGTAAAGCAAGGCTGGGCTCAGCCAAGGGAGCTTGGGAGGCCCAGTCCCTCACTCTCCTGACATGTCTCTCTCTTCCAGGAGAATATGAAAGACTCCAATAAAATGAACTAACAACAGGGGAAGGCCACCCTTACGAGACTGTATTTGGAAAAAATAAAAATAAAAATCAATGTGGGCCGGGGATTTAGCTCAGTGGTTCCGTCACCTGCCTCGCAAGACCAAAGTCCAGAGTTTGATCCCTGGTGCCAAAAAAAAAAAACAAAAATAAAGAAATAAAAACAATGTATTCTGAATACAGCGATGTAAATTTGGAGGCCTCATTTTATTTATTTATTTATTTTCTTTTTGAGACAGGGTCTCACTATGTAGTTGAGACTGACCTGGAACAGCCCAGGCTGTTCTCCAACTCACAGAGATCCTCCCTGCCTCAGCCTCCCAGAGTGCTGGGATTACAGGCGTGCACCACCACGCCTGGCTCAATTTTTTATTTATTTTATTTGCTTGAGCACACTGATCAACCACCGAACTACTTCTATTGTCCTGCAGTGATATATAAAGTTTACATTTTTGTGTATATGGCTTTCATAGTTGGGATTTCAGAGCGCTGACACCAGATATTTTAAGTTTCTCTGGGGGGATTTCATTTGCATCTATGTTTTTAGCTATCTGTGATAACTTGTTAAAACATTAAAAAGATATTTTCCTTCTTTTGAAACATTAGTATACTCAAAACTATATTTCTATAAATAGCTGCAGTCAAAAATAACACATTGAGAGGCCGGGCATGGTGGTGCACGCCTATAATCCCAGCCCTGGGAGGCTGGGGCAGGAGGATCATGTGAGTTGAAACCAACCTGGGCTACACAGTGAGTTCCAGGTCAGTCTCAACTACATAGTGAGACCCTGTCTCAAAAAAAACAAAACCAAAACAAAACAAAACAAAACAAAAACATTGGAAGCTTTAAAAAACTTGGGAGGCCACCAGAAACAATCATTAGACTTTTTTTATAAATCATAAAAATGATTGAGTATGTACTGTGTGCCTGACTTTTTTAGGACCAGGCTTTGAATTCCAGGATTCTGGGTCCTTCAAGACTTGGCTGTAAGCCAGGTGTGGTGGCGAGGCAAAGGATCACAAATTTGAGCCCAACCTTAGTGACTTCAAAAGACCGTATCTCAAAAAGAGCAAGCCCCTATGGGCTGGGGATTTAGCTCAGTAGTTCTGGCGCCTGCCTCGCAAGCACAAGGACCTGAGTTCGATCCCCGGTACCAAAAAGAAAAAAAAAAGAGAGAGAGAAAGGGCCTGAAAAGGTGCTCAGCGCGATGGCCCTGGGGTTCGATCCCCAGGATGGGGGGAAGGCAGAAAGAAAGTCAGGCACTGGCCTTAAGTAGGTGGGTCCTTGAGGCTGACCCTTTCTGCTGCTCTTGTCCTAAAGGAGGCAGCTCTGCCCTGGGCCCTCTGATACCCTGTCTTTGTGGGCAGCCTTGGACGAGGCCAGTTCTCCCTTTGCTTGTGGCTTGTATTAAAAATTACTATCTGGAAAGGCCACACCCTGAGAAGGGGGAAAGCACCGTAGACAGCCTGGGCGCTGTTACTTCCTCCCGTGGAAGCAGACCGAAGTCCTTCGAAGCTTTGGCCAATAAGTCATGTGGCCCCTGAGGTACAGAGTCCAGGACAGGCCACCTCCACCTTCAGGCTCTCTCTGCAGAGGTACAATAGGGGGCGCACGCAGCAGAGAGTCCACGTACCCAGACTGCTGCCCCTCTGTAAAGAGCTGCTTCAGGTGTCTTGGGTCTCAGTGGACTCAGGCACTGGGGACACTGCAGTGGGGGGCCAAAGCACCTGGGAGGGAGGATAGAAAAAGATAAAAGATAGGTAGAAAGGAGACAAGGAAATCATAACTCAAAATTGTACTTTTAATGGCTAGGGATTTAGCTCAGTGTTGCCACCTCTTGCCTCACAAGCCCAATGTCCTGAGTTTGATCCCTGGTACAAAAAAAAAAAGAAGATTGCAACTTCTAGGACCCAGCTGAAGTCACCTAAGGAGATCCATATCAGCATTTTCTTGATTCAATTTAGGCTCTTTTCCTTCCAGACCAATCACACCCCAAATTCCTGAGGAATATTGAAAGTAAATAAATTAGTTTCACTGAGGAAACAAACGGTAGGAACTTCATCTTAAGAGAAAGGAACAGGTCAAGAGAATCCAAGCCTGGCACACACCTGTAATCCCAGCACTCTGGAGGCTGAGAAGTAGGAGGATCAACAAGAGTTTGAGGCCAGCCTGAACTACATAGTGAGACCCTGTCTCAAAAAACCAAAAAAAAAAAAAAAAAAAAAAAAAAAAAAAAAAAAAAAAAGGTGGGGGGCTGGGGATTTGGCTCAGTGTTTCTGCTGCCTGCCGCCCAAAGGCCCAAGTTCGATCCCTGGTACCAACAAAATTTTAAAAATAAAAAAATAAAACTGAGCTCATACTTGCAAAATGGGCCAGTACCCTTCTGGAGCTGGAGCCACCTTTTCCTAGGGTTTCTTACCCCTCAAGAGAGCACAGATGTTCCCAGTTCCACGAAGTAATTCACCTCTCTCTCTTCAGGGCCCACATGCTATTTTTTTTTGAGTGCATACCTTTTAATTTCTGCCTAATAAAATTTTTCCTGGGCCTCTTACTGACTAGTACTAAAAATCCTTTTTCCTTGATTGGAGTCAGCAAACCTGCAAACTTATTCTATGAGAACAGTGGGTTAGGTTCCTTAGTTCAGGGTCAGGAACCTCCTCAGATCTTGTTGATTGATACTTGGACTCCTGGCCCTGGTGGCTGGCAAGGTGGCAGTCTCCACTGTCACGCCCTGGGCTTGGTTCTGGATGACCTTGTCTCCCACAGCCTGTCTCCAGGAGGCCTCAGCCCTACCGGCCAGGCCCTCCCAGGATGCCCCAGTCTCTTTATTGGTACTTTTTTTTTTTTTTTTTTTTTTTTTTTTGGTACCGAGGATCGATCTTGGGTCCTTGCTCTTCTGAGACAGGAGATGGCACCACTGAACTAAATCCCCAGCCTCAGAAGTTCTACTTCTGAATTCTTTTTTTGTTTTGTTTTGGGGTTTTTGTTGTTGTTGTTTTTTGGTACCGGGGATCAAACTCAGGCCTTTGTGCTTATCATGTAAAGGTACAAATTCCCAATGATGAATGTCATCATTGTGTATACTTAAATGTATCAATAAACTTAACGAAGTATTAAAAAAGAAAATACACGTCTAAGATAAAAAACAAAGCATATTTTAGTTTTACTCTGGTATTTCAAATCTATGATGTGGAAAAATGAAATCATGGCCTCCACGGGTCCCAGGAAAGCAGCATCTGGGGCCATCCCTGTCCCCAGCACTCAGGGCAGCTGCGGGATGACAAGTACTTAATGGTGGCCCACGGGCCAGCAGAGGCTGGACCAGTGGGCTATAGATGGACCCACCGAGGAAGGCTGGACTAATGGGAGAGGGCTGAACTAATGGGCGAGGGTTGGACCAACGGTGAGAGCTGCTCTGTTGTCAAGGGTGCTGGGCAGAAAAATCCAGTGGATTCAGTGACCAGGTACATACAATCCCTCTACTCACTCAGCAAAGCACCGATGGCCAGTAAGGACTTGAGACAAATGCTCCAGCTTCCTCCGCGGGGAGCTGGACTCCAATACTAAGGGGGGGGGGCGGTCTCAGTTAACCCCCACCCCCACTTCAGAGCAGCGCAACCCGGCCCAGAACACGAATCCAGGGCGCTGGTCCTGCAGATGCTCCACCCCTCTGCGATGACACCCAATTCAGTACTGGCCCCACCACTTTCACTTTTTTTGTTTTTTTGTTTTTTATACGGGGGATCGAACTCAGGACTTTGCATTTGCCAGACAAGCGCTGCGCCACTGAGCTACATCCCTGGCGTCTTCACCTTTCCTTTTTTTATGGTTCCGCCCCTGCACGCCGATTGGTCGGGCGGTCAGCTCCGCTCAGCTCCTGGAAAATTTGGAGAAGCGGAATCCACCTAGGAATGGGCCCCTGAGGTCCTGCTGCGCGTGCTCACACCGTGACCTCAGTTTGAGGTGACGGCGGGAGCCGAGGCTGGGCACCCCTTCAGAGCCCGAGGGACCCGCAGGAGAGGGAAGGCCCACCTGCCTCGGTGAGGACGGGCCCGTGGGCGGGAGGGTCCTGGGCAGACTGATGGGTCGCAGGGATGGTGCTGGAAGGGACCTCAGCCCTGCGCCCTGGGCTCAGGCCACCCACGATTCATCTCTTTTTCCCTCTCCCCCGCTCCACCTGCCCAACCCTAAGACAGCCCGACACCCCCAGATCGGGGAGCCCCACATCACCTGCCTTCCCATGACCATGCCTGCGCGGTACTGGAAGCGGCCATCCAGTACCCGCCCCGGTCCCCTCCGGTTTTTGAATCCCGAGGTCTCTGCGTATGGCAGCGAGTTGGAGGCCTGAGATCAGGGATGAGGGGAGACGCCCCAGGGGCTCAGCCAGGAGGTGGTGGCTTTGGTAGAAGAAAGGGAGGTCGGTGCCATCTGAGCGCAGTCGCACTAGGTAAGGGAAGAGGAGACTAAGATTCTGAGCCTTTGAGCTTAGGGGAAGGAGGAGCCCTAACTGAAATTCTCACTTTGGGGAAGCTCTGCCCTGCGCTCTGCATAGTACAGTTCCTGACCTTCCTGGAGGGAGGGTTTTTAAATCTCCCTGAGAGGCTATGCTCTGCGAGCCTAAGTGTCATAGCGTTCCATCAGCAGTCCAATCACAGCTCTCCACGCACAAACGCCGTGATATGAAGAGCAGCTGTCCTTATCCTACAAACGGCAAACAACTACTTTACCTTTCTCTAAACCTCTGCTAAATTCACCCCAATTCCCATTACACAAGTGAAACCAGCTGAGCGAGAGTAAAGCATTTGTCCTGGTTGGTGAGGACCCAGGAATTGGTGGACATTAGTATCTCTGGTGCATAGGAAGGTAATTCTGTTGACCCACCTAAGGTACCTGGTGAGGTTCCAGGCTTCTAAAATCTCATCGATACAAGGATTGGACCTTGTACTATCTTCCTATGGCTACCATAAGAAATCACCACAAATGTAGTGGCTTAAAACTATTTTTTAGTTAATATTTTATTTTTATTGGTACTTTTTTTTTTTTTTTTTTTTTTTTTTTTTTTTTTTTTTGGTACCGAGGATCGATCTTGGGTCCTTGCTCTTGTGAGACGGGTGATGGCACCACTGAACTAAATCCCCAGCCTCAGAAGTTCTTCTTCTGAATTCTTTTTTGTTTTGTTTTGGGGTTTTTGTTGTTGTTGTTTTTGGTACCGGGGATGAAACTCAGGCCTTTGTGCTTATGAGGCAGGCATCGGAACCACTGAGCTAAATCCCCGGCCCTATTGGTACATGTTTGCAGTACATAATGATAACATTCCTTGTGGGGAGTTGGTGCACGTACTTACCACCTCTTTTTTTTTTTTTTTTTTTTTTTGGTACCAGGGATCAAACTCAGGACCTTGCGTTGCAAGGCAGGTGGTGGAACCACTGAGCTGGATCCCCTTACCCCAAATATAACCATTATCTTACCATTCTAGAGGTCAGAGGTCATGGGGTTAAAATCAAGATGTGGGTGGGACTGCCTTCCTTCTTGAGGCTTTGGAGAGAATTATTTCCATGCTTCTTGTGGGAGCAACCTGCACTCCTTGGCTTATGGTCGATCCCCTTCCTCCATCTTCAAAGCCTTTTCTAGTGGACCCTGCTTCCATCGTTACATCCGTCTCACTGTCCTCTTTCTCACCCTCACTCTTTCAGGTTCGTCTGCCTCCTACTTTCAGGGTGTGTGTGTGTGTGTGTGTGTGTGTGTGTGTGTGGTGACTAGGAATTCAACCCAGGGCCTCACACATGCTAGACAAGCACTCTCCTTATACCCTATCCCTTCTTCTATTTTTCAGGACCCCAGTGATTACACTGGGTCTGCTAGGATAATCTGGTGAGGTGAACAACTTTTAGTTGCTTGCAATGTTTATGCCCTTTTGCCCAATAAGACAATATATTGACAGGTTCCAGGGAGTAGGAGGATCTGGACATCTTTGAGGACCATTATTCTGCCTTCCCACAGACCTGATGGTGTATGAGTGACTCCTGCCAGTTCCTAACATTGTATGAAATAGGATCTTAAGTCTACACTGGGCTATCTTGATATTGTTGGGTCTCCTTGGTCATGACCAACATCATGAGAGCTGGTTAGGGCAACTGAGTGACTGGAATCTCAGCAATGGCAAGCCACTGGATTGCAGAGTTGGGGAGACAATGTGCAGTAAGTGAAATAAGGGAACTGTTAAGCCTTTTAATCTTTTTAATTCATTTCTGCTTCTCTTTTAAAAAATAATTATGGAAGATCTAATTCACTTTGTTGTTTTTTTTTGGCACCACAGATCAAACTCAGGACCTTGAGCTTGCCAGGCAGGCTCTGTGCCTCTGAGCTAAATCCCTGGCCCTATTTTTATTTTTTAGGACAAGGTCTTTCTATGTAGTTCAAGTTGTCCTTGAACTCACTATACAGGCCAGGGTGGCCTGTAACTAACTCATGGTGATCTTCCTGCCTCAGCCTCTCAAGTGCTAGTACTACAGGCATGTACCACCACACCCATTATGATTCACTTAAAGTCTATTTATTCAATGGACCTTGACTAAGAATTTAATTTTCAAGCCGGGCGTGGTGGCACATGCCTGTAATTCCAGCACTGGGGAGGCTGAGGCAGGAGGAGCATTGTGAGTTCGAGACCAGCCTGGGGTACATGGTGAGACCCTGTCTCAAAAAAACAAAAAAAAAGTGGGGGCAGGGATTTAGCTCACCTGCCTTGCAAGCGCAAGGACCCGAGTTTGATCCTCGGTACCAAAAAAAAAAGAATTTAATTTTTAAAATGTATACATTAGGGCTGGATATGGTCGCATATGCCCATATCCCAGCACTCAGGAAGCTGAGGCAGGAGGATTGCTACAAGTCTGAGGTCAGCGTGGGCTACATAGTGACTTCAAGACAGTGTGAACTACATAGCAAGATCCTATCTCAAGATTTAAATCAAGATTTAGGGATACCACTAGATTCAATTTATTCATCACTAACTGTGTTTTAGGCTATTACGGTACTCTAATTTTCTTGACTTTTCTTTGGAAACTCAGTCAATAATGTAGGTCCATTTTACCCCTTACTTTAGTATTTGAACTCTTACTTTGAGATGAGCCTGATGTCCCTTTTGGACCCTTTCTTGTTCTTTTGCCCCAGCAACGGGGCTGGGAGCGCAGCAGAGAGCGCAACTTGCTGCCAGGCCTACCCAAGACTCAAGAGAGAGCCCCGGCGGGAACTGCATGGTGACTGAACAAGAAGCCATTATTTTTGGAGTCCCGGGACGCAGACAGATAGGGACCGGCACGAACCTACCTACCTAAGGAGAATGCGAGGTGAAGACATCCCCCGTCAGGCCAATGGCGCGGAGGGCAAGCGCCGAGGGGCGGGCTGCCGGTGGAGGGACGTGCTCTGGAGCCAATCAGCTATCAGGAAGCGCGCATCTGTGGGCAGGGCTTCCGGCCGGCCCTTTTCTTCCCCGAAGGTGCCGGCTAAATGTTTGCTGAGAGTTGATCCTCGGGGCTCTGGCACCCGAGGTCACTAGTGAGGCGGAATGGGCTGAACGCAGGTGGAGCAAGGTAGATAATCTACCTTGGCCTGTGCGTTTTGTGCCCACAGGTGGAGAAAATGAGCACCTAAGTAGAGTCTCCACCTCTGAAGATGGCACCCAACCCTCTGTGAGCCCAGGAAGTACCACTGCCCTGGCCAACTCTCAGTGCTGTGGTTTCACAGCGTCAGCAGGGTGTCTCTCAGCTGCTCTGGTCACCAAGTGAAGGGTAGCATCCCATCGTGGGAGGGGCCGTTAACTGACCAGTCTCCCAGGCTCAGGAGTACCAGTTTCTAATTATACAAATGAGATACCTCAGATGTGTGGAAACAGCTCTGAATCTGCCTCTACCCTGGCAAGCATTTGTAAAGTGCCTGGGTTCATAAGAATGGCCTGGGTTTGGTGGTACCCACGTGTTATCCCAGCACTCAAGAGGCTGAGGCAGGAGGATCACTGTAAGTTAAAAGCCAGCCTGGGTTACATAGTGAGTTCAAGGCCACCCTGAAATGCATGCTAAGACCCTGTCTAAAAACAAAACAAAACAAGGTGCCAGGGATTTAGCTCAGTGGTTCTGCCGCCTGCCTCATAAGCACAAGTTCTAAGTTCGATCCCCAGTACCAAAAAAAAAAAAACCCAAAAAGCAAAAAACACAATGGCCCAAGGATAGCCAGGGACTGGAAGTTAAAGGGAACAGCTGAGGACATGGCCTCTCTGCTGGGCACAGAGAAGGTCAGTTATTAGTGCATTATCTCCTTCCAGCCCGTGGAGAGGGGTGTTTACTGGGCACAGTTCACAAATGGGGAAGGTGAGGCCTGGGTGTGGGGGGGTGATATCCCCAAGGCCCCAGGAGAGGAACAGCAGAGAAGCATCAACCCAGGGCCCCTAGTTCCTTCTATCGGGTCTCTCCCCAGCCTCCCAGCCCCAGGAACACTGAGGCAGATCATTTGGCCCAGCTCCAATCCAGGTCCATTTCATTTATTTATTTGTTTGTTTATTTTTGCCTCTTTTCTCAACCTCCGAATTCTGGGATCATAGGCATGTACCACCGCACCCAGCATAGTTTTGGTTTTTTTGAAACGGTCTCCCTATTTAGCCCAGGCTGGCCTCAAACTCTGAGCAGTCCTCCTGCCTCAGACTTCTAAATGCTGGGATTACAGGTGTGTGCCACCATGCCCGGCTCCCCCAGGTCCATGAGCCCCAGGCTCAAGGGTTCCTCCACTGACTGGGTTTTTGCCTCTTCTCTTAGCCAGATCCCAGACTGGCAGATTCCTGGCCAAGGAGGAGGAGGAATACTGCTGGGGTTGAGTGTGGCCTGAGGGTCCCAGGATGCCCCTGCCCACGTCCAGTGAGCAAGAGAGCCTGAAGAGCAACCTGGAGCCATCACTGAAGCCTGGCATGGATGTTGTCCCAGCAGTCCCTAGAAACCCCCGGAAGTTCTCCAAACTGGTCCTGCTGACAACTTCCAAAGACAGCACCAAGGTGGCTGGAGCCAAGCGCAAAGGGGTGCACTGTGTCATGTCCCTGGGGGCGCCAGGCCCTGCCACCCTGGCCAGAGCCCTCCTCAAGACCCACCCAGAGGCTGAGCGGGCCATCGAGGCAGCCCCCCAGGAGCCTGAGGCGAAACACAGCAAGCTGGACCTGGGTGAGGATGTGGAAATCCGACTAGCCCCCGTCAGGGACACTGCTTCCTGTCAGAGTTACCCACACGGCTGGTCCCTGCTCCGGGTTCCTGCTGCTCCCTCTGTTCTGACCCTCCTGGCTCCCCTACTTCCTCTGAGCATGCGCAGGAAGCAGGTAGCACAGGGCTTATGGGTGCAGGCCAGCCATCCCTTGGAGGGGCCCAGGACCCTGATTTGGTCCCTTCCAGTCCTGCAAGGTAGCCCTGTCCCCTCCAAGTCCTTTCCGCACTCCTCACTGCCACATGCCTTGCTCCATACAGGAGTTTGAGGTGGGGTTGTCACCAGTAGTGGTGCTGGGGCTGCTAGCTGCTTGTGGGCTAAGGCTACAGGCTAAGTGTCCCTGAGGCCTGGGCTCATAAGCTCCTTCCACGTGCTGTAGAACTAACGCGTGGCCAGTGCAGACCACCCCTGCATTCCCTCATGCAGCCTCTGTCTCCTGAGCAGAAGCTGTGTTCCCACTGGGATTTGGGACTAGACAGGGCCCTGCCCCAGGCCTGGTGGCCTTGTGCCAGCCTCTCTCTAGGCTGCTTCCCTTGCTTGCCTCTTCTTCTCCAGCCTCACTCTTCCTAGAGCCTCCCAGAAGTACAGCTCAGGCTCCAAGGCCTTAAAATAGCTGCAGGTTGACTGCAAAGGGCAGGCAGTAACCAGGCAAGCTCACTGCCCTCGCTTCATGGGGTAGCTGCACCTTGGGCACCGCCACCTCTTCCCGCAGCTCTGCACCTCGGTTGCACTGAACCCGCTGTGGTGGGGGGAGTATGACAGTGTAGGGTGGCAGCAGAGAGCACGTGTTGCTCCTCTTTCTACAGCTCGCTCTGGCTGCAAGGTGCTCAGGTTTCCACAGAGCAGTGACGTGGAAATCAGGAGCCCAGCAGCAAAAGCAATGGGCTGGGGACAGTGGGTGTCCTCCGCATAGGACAGAAACAGGAGAGAGAGGTGAGGGGTGAGGCTGGGCTGCTGGTGTAGAGGAAGCTGGGGGACTGTGGAGGGGAAGTGAGGGGCTAGGGGCTGGTGGGCGCAGGATGCGCTTGCTGGGATACCCTTCCAACCAGGAGCATCCACCTCAGTCTCTGCGGCTCTCGATGTCACTGGGGCTAGGAGAGTCAGTGAGGGCCACCAGCCCGGACCTCCCTGGAGTGGGAAGCCTCCTGATGTCTGGCCAGATAGACTCCGGGCTGACTGGACAGTGTGCATGTGCTGTGACCACGTCGGGCCATGTCCGCTGTGGGGGTGGCTGTCCCCAGGAACATCTCTGTGGACTCTTGCAGTTCTGTGCTCGGTGCCTTGGGCCGTATCCAGTGGGTGGGAAGATAAGCCTGTGTGTCTCCCCAGCTTCAAGTAGGATTTGTCATGGCCTCAGGAGATGGGGACAATAAAAGCTATTGGCCTGGGCCCTGGTACCCACCTGGAAGCTAAGCACAAGGAAAGGAGGGGACCCTGGGGTCCCTGTCAGTTAACAGGGCAGCTGTGAAGGCGGTGTTTCACATCCCTCATGGAAATTTAGGGGGAGCGGCCTGAGCTCATAGAGTTCATGGCCCCATTGCTTAACGCTGAGTAAGACCCTAGGATGCCCGACATGAAGAGCTTTTGGGGGTCTCGGGACCCCCCACCTCCATATCCTGCTAAGGTACCCATGCCTGGGGACAGTGCTGGGCATCGGAAGAACCCGCCCACGCCCTGGCCTCAAGCCCCTCTGGACCTGCCGGCTGTCACTGTGAACCTTCCAGAGACTGCTACTCTCCCCACCCCCGCCTCCTGCCAGTCAGGGTGGAGGTTGTGGTCCCCCGACCTGTGGGAGACTGGGACAGACAGCTAAGCATACACTGTCCCCTCCAAGCCTCCTGTCCTGTGGGCTGCCCCATCTCTGCACTGCCTCAGCCAGGGAGTGGGGGAGGCACCTCTGCTCAGGCCAGAGTTTCCGAGAAATGACTTTAGTGGCCTTGGTATCCCTGGGTTGGCAGCCTTAGGGAGTAGTGTCCCTGGAGTTGCAATGAATTTCTCTAAATCGGCAGCAGAGGCTTTAGCCCAGGAATGTGCCCTGGTCTGGGCGAGGGCCAGAGTGAGTCCGTGGGAGGGGCTCAGGCAGACTCCGGGATACCCGTCTCCTGTCCTTTGCCACCAACCTGACACCTGTGCTGCCTCTCTTACAGATGCAGGTGCCAAGGAAGACAGTGGATTAACAGGGGCAGCACCTGTGGTACACGGGGAAGACTCTGCTGCAGTGCCCAGCGTTTCCCTGGAACCTTAGCAACCGGGGGAGCCAAGTGCTACCTGCATCTGACTGGGCTACGAGTTCTGCTGACCACAGATTTCCCTCAGCCTCTTCGTTCACGCTCAACCTTGTGTAAATATAAATGTTTTTTTCAGTACTTGAGGTGGAACTCAAGACCTTGCACTTGTAAGGCAGGCGTGGAACCACTGAGCTAGATCCCTGGACCCATATATACGTTTTAGATCAAATGTAAGTTACTTTTGTAAGCAGGAAAAAAAAAAATCAAAAGAATAAAAGCTTGTATGGTATTTTCCATCAGAGATAGACAGGTTTAAACATTCCAGGAAGGTGGGCGTGGTGGTGTACACCTGTAATCCCAGCACTCAGAGGCTGAGGCAGGAGGATTGCTATGAGTTCAAGACCTGGGGTCTCCAACCCCAAGACCTCACTGCCCTGGGCCCCCTCAGCTTGGAAAACCAGCCACTGACCCTGAGACCCTGAAGTTCCCCTCCTGGAGCCCTTGATCTGAAAGAAGGGACAGCTCTGCTCTGGGCCCCAGACTCTGCCACTGTGTCACCCTTCCTTCCTTCCAAGGGTCTGGCCTCCAGGACGCCTCCCAGCCTGATGGCTCCCAAGCCCAAAGCCCCCTACTGAAAAGGGTGGCTCCAGAATGTTCTGAGGAAGGGGTGAGCCTGCAGCTCAGGTGGCCTGCAGAAGATCCTGGCACAAGGACAGAGCAGCCCCTCAGCTTCTTTCCAGGAGGTTTGGAGGCTCTGGAGATTCTGAGGAACCCAAGGCCTCCCGGGCCTGTGGATATCGCCGCTGTTGGAGAAGAGACGATGGCAGTGGTCGTGTTCCTCCAGTCCCTTCACCTCATGGCCCTTATTCTTTGAAAACTGCCTCTGAAAATAAAAAGTAAAGAAAAAAAAAAGATTTTTAAAAATCTGCACATGGACACAAATAAGCCTTATTTTTTAAAAAATAGGATGTGGAGCCCCTGTGGTGGTTTGCTTCTGTTTTTGTGGTACCGGGGGATTGAATCTGGAGCCTTCACACTAATCTCCTTCCTCAGCCTTTTTGGGGTGAGAGGGGAACAAAGTCTCAGTAAATTGCCCAGACTGGACTCAAACTTTAGATCCTCCCGCCTCTGCCTCCCAGACTGCTGGGATTACAGGCGTGTACCACCATTTTTTCTTTTTTTAAATTTTAATTTATTTTACTTTACTAGTACCTGTGTGTAGTGCATAATGTTTCTATTCCTTGTGAGGAGTTGGCACATGTACATAACACATTTTAACTCCTTTTATCATCCCTGTTCCCTTCCCTCCCCTCATGTATTCATCTATTGATCACATTCCTTTGTTTTTCATTTGGTTTGGGGGGTTTGTTTGTTTGTTTGTTTTTTGGTACCAGGAATCAATTTCAGGATCTCCTACTTGCAAAGCAGGTGGCGGCACCACTGAGCTAAATCCTCAGCCCCAGCTTTTTTATTTTTTGACACAGGGTCTCACTATGTAGTTGAGGCTGAACTTGAACTCACTTTGTAGCCGAGCCTGGCCCCGAACTCAGAGATCCGAGTGCTGGGATTGCAAGAGTCTGCCGCCATACCCAGGCTCTGGTGTGTGTGCATGCACATTTACGGTGCGAGATATTTACATCCCTCGTGTGGGGTTGGTACATGTACCCAGCACGTTCTAGTTTCTTTTTCTCATCCCTTCCCTCCCTTCCCCTTTGAGAATGAACTATCTCCCTACGTCTTCTTATCCACCTCTTAGTTGTGCTCTTCATTTTTACCCTGGGTTTCTCACCATGTAATAAATATTTAAAGTTACATGTCTAATTTTTTTCACTTAACATTATAATCTCAAGATGCATCTATTTTCCTAAAAATGACTCTTTTATCCTTTATAGATTAGTACTCTATTGTGTATAAATACCACATTTTCTTTATCTGTTGATGAACATATAGGCTTATTCCAACACATACCTATTATGAATTTGCCGCTATAAACATGGGTATGTATGTATCACTGTAAGGTGATATATTTAACACTTTTGGGAAGATACCTAGAAGAATAGCCTGTTCAAATGGAATTTCTAGCTTTAGTTGTTTTGGGTTTGGGGTCTTTGGTTTTGGGGTTTTTTTTGGGGGGGTTGTTTTTTTTTTGGTTTGTTTGTTTTTTGAGACAGGATCTGCTGTAGTTGAGACTGACCTGGAACTCTCTATGTAGCCCAGGCTGGTCTTGAACTCACAACGATCCTCCTGCCTCAACCTGCCTAGTGCTGGGATTACAGGAGTGCGCCACCATGCCCGGCTTTTTTTTTTTTTTTTTTGTCTTTATATATTCTAGATAATGAATCCCCTGTTTGAGGAATCACTGGCAAAAATTTTACCATTCTGTAGGTTATCTTTTTTTTTTTTTTTTTTTCTCCATACCAGGAATCAAAGTCAGGACCTTGCACTTGCAAGGCAGGCATGCCACCACTGAGCTACATCCCCAGCCCTCTGTATCTTTTCACTGTGGGTTGCTTGTTTTGCTGTGCAGAGGCTTTTAAATTCAATGTGATCCTCATTGGTTGATTCTCAGAACTATTTCCTGTGCAACTGGGGTTCTGTTCAGAAAGCCCTTGCCTACACCTGTGATTTTCATTTACCTGTTTTGTCTAGATTCCATCTTCTGCCTGTGGATAACTAGTTTTCCCAACACCATTCATAAAGAGGCTATTTTTACTCCCGTGTATATCTTAAGCATGTTTTCAAAATTAAGCAGCATCAGCCAGTCGTGACGGTATATACTTGTGACCCCAGCATCCGGGAGGTTGGAGCAGGACGATCACTGAGTTCAAGGCCACCCTGAACTATATGGTGAGACCCTGTCACAACACCGTTATTTATATGGAAGGATGGACTCCCCATATGCTCTGGGGGGATCACTAGGTCCTCCTACTGCCCTCAGAGAAGGCACTGAGAGCTCTCAGGGGCGGAATGCTATTGTTTTTTCTTTCTTTTTGGTTTTTTGAGACAGGGTCTCACTATGTAGTTGAGACTGACCTAGAACTCACTATGTAGCCCAGGCTGGTCTCCAACTCGCAGCGATCCTCCTGCCTCAGCCTCCCGAGTGCTGGGATTACAGGCGTGCGCCACCACGCCTGGCGTAATGCTATTATTAAGGAAATAGTAGCAGGGCGCGGTGACTCAACACCTGCAGCCCCAGCAATCCGGGAGACTGAGGCAGGCCATCGCAAATTCAAGTCCAACCTGGGCAATTTAGAGATCCTGTCAGAGTAAAAAAAAAATTGTAAAAGGAGATGTAGCTCAATTCTAAGAGCAAAAGAAAAGAAAAGAGGAAGAGGAGGGAGGAGAAGAAAGCATCCTTCACTTCGCCCTTGAGCACAAAACTTCTGCGCGGTTTCCTCCTGGATAAGCGTTTTCCTGCGTTACTTGGAGAGCTCCGCCCTGGCCTCCAGACTTCCCAGACTGGAGACTCTGGCTGGTTGATGTCCCCGGCGGCCGCTAGAGGGCGCGCCCACTCGATGGTCGTCTGGCGCCTCCGCGGTATCCAGGCCGTGAGCGCCACCTAGAGGGCGGTCCTGGCCTCGCAGTCGCGGTCTGTCCTGCGCGGCGGACTCCCCCGCCCCAGCTCAGGCGTCACAGGCGTCTCGGAGCAGGGGGTTACTGACCTTGCAGCGGCCGACTGCCCACTAAGATGATCTCCACCACGAGTTGCAGCCCCTCCTTCCTGCTTTATTTTCCCGTGCTGTGCCAGCCTCCAAAATACTATGCTTTTGTTTTCTTTGCTTTGAGACAGGGCCTCTCTCGCTAAGTCGCCAAATCGCCCAGGATGGGCTTGAATGTGTAACCCTCCTGCCTCGGCCTCACAGAGTGACAGGATGGCAGGGGTGTGCCGCCATGCCTGGCTGAGGCTGTGCATTTTACAGTTTACCGCTCCCCCACACCCCGTACGGGTAACTGAAGTCAGGGCCTTGCGTTTGCCCGGCAGGCGCTGCACCGCAGAGCTATATCCCCGGTACTCTTTCGTTTTTCTTTTTCTTTGTCTTTTTTCTATTTCAAACATATTTTTTATTTTTAGAATGTTTTGGTGTGCTTTTGACGGACACGATGACCGTCATCAGGGAATTTGTACCTGTATATATTTTAATGTTTTCCCCATTCCCTCCTTCCCTTCAATCCTTCCCCTCTCCCTTTACAAAACCTTGCCTCTGTTTTTCCTTTCATTCTTTAGTTTACCACTTCTGTTGCTTCTCGAATCCCCACAACCCCGCACCCCATAACAGAAACTCAGCACCACCAGCCAGGGATCGCTGTGGACTGGGGTCCGTGAGGTTCGCAGCGTGAAGAGCTGGAGAGGCAGCCAGCGGCCTCCGGGGCTGGAGGCGAGGCGCAGATCAGGGTCCAAGGCTGCGGGAGGCTGGAGGATGAGCGGCTGTGTGGGCGGCGGAGACGCCGAGGAGGGGCTGGGCCAGAGCCAGCGGGGTCCCCGCCGCCCCGGGCTGCTGAAGGGTGACAAGGGTCCGGGGCTGTGCGCTGGACGAGGGCCGATCGACCCGGCAATACTGTGCAAGGTTTGTACAGAGCAATCTCACATATGCTTTCACTAACATTCCCCAAATGTTAATAAAGCCAGAGGGCCGGGGATTTAGCTCCGTGGTGCTGCCGCCTGCCTCGCAAGCGCAAGATCCCGAGTTCGATCGCCCGCCTCAAAAAAAGTAAAGCCAGACATCACAGAAAAGTTTGTAATAGCAAAACTCTGAAACAAAGCATCTAAGAAAATGACTATGTGTGTGTGGTGGCACATCCTATAATTCCATCAGAAAGCAGAAAGATTGAAATTCTAGCCCTGCCTGGGCAATTTAGCTAGAGCCTGTCTTAAAAAATAAAATAAAATAAAATAAAATAAGAACTATGTATGTAGCTTAGTGGAAAGCCCTGGATTGATTCTCCAGTAGCACAAAAAAATAAATAAAATAAACTATTAAATTTAGTAACCCATCACACAGAAAGGAAGTTTATTTTCTGGTTTTTAGTTTTGGGGGGTACCAGGGATCAAACTCAGGACCTTGTGCTTACAAGGCACATGGCGGCACCACTGAGCTAAATCCCCAGCCCTGGAAAGTAAGTTTATAATATGGGGGGATGTTTCCTCTATAAAGTTAAGTGACAAAAGCAAGGACACCTGCCAATTATTTCTATAATCTCAGTGATGTCAAATTATAGCAATTCAGCCTCAAAAAGATTGACGGATGACAATGGAACTTCAAGGAACCCAGAACAGACAAAATAAATCTCAAAAAGAATAAGGCTGTAGGATGCATATTCCCTGATTCCAAAACTTCGTTTTTTTCTTTGAGTCAAGGTCTGGCTATGTAGTCCAGGCTGGCCTTGAACTTGCAGTGCCCCTCCTTCCTCAGCCTCCTCAGCCTCCCAAGTGCTGGGATTACAGACGTGCGCCACCACGCCCGGCAAGACTCTCAGAAGAAAACATAAAGGTAAATCT